CAACACGAGAGGAGTGGCAAGGGGCAAGTTCGGAGCGAGCAGACGTGGCAGCAGAGGAAGGGGGTCGAGGCAGCACTAGTCGCAGCCAGAGGCCAGTGCTCCCGGTGTCATCCAGTGGTCGTGTCTCCACCGACAACCCTGCCGTCATCGATTGGTTGGCTCGGGTCGTCTTCTCTTCCTCTTCCCAGGTCACCTCTGACACCTACAGCACCACGGTCGGTGTGGTACGTCAGACACAACCGTTAGTTGGCATGGCCCGGGGAGCAAGCCCACTGAAATCACGTTGTCCTCTACCTGCCCCTGTCCTTTGGTGTTCCCTCACCAAGCGATTGTATCGCATGCTTGTGGGCTCAGCCCCACTGTACAGTGAGGAAGAGCTAAACAGAGAGGCGGTCAGGAACGGGGGGAGACATCACCGCCTCTTCAGCAGCCAGGCGAAGAAGTACTGGCGAGGAGAGTGGCTCGGGTAGCCTGGTGTCTAGAGACAGGTCTGTCTCCTGACCCACACGCAGCCGAGGGGCTAGTAGTGAGGCGGAGACCCTAATTGATGATGATGAGGCTGATCGCACTTGGCAGCCTCTGTCGTCATCAGGGCTACTTGCTTCCGTAATCATCAGGAGGCAAAGACCAGGGGTGCCAGCTTTGTGCAGTGAGGCAAAAACATTCGGTGGGTTGCCCAGGATGGCAGCAGTTGGTCGCAGCAGTGTCAGTGGAGGCAACGGCCACGGAGAGTAGAAGTAGAGCACCAGCTCCACTGCAGCCTACCACCACGGCCAGTAGTGGTGCCGGTGTGCACGGGAGGAAGTAGCAGTCAGCCAGTGAGGGGAGTAGCTGGTGGAGCAAAGTTTCCTACTCGGCGTTGGGTGATCTGGCGACGATTATCAAGAGTCCAATGGCAGAGATGGCAGGAGCAGAAGCTGCTTCAAATTGAAGGCCATACACAGGCCTAGGTTTAAAAGTCCCTCACAGTTAATTCCAATAACGAACTCTACTCCTCCGTGCAATCTACTTACAAGACCCTGGGCAGATCTGGGTCCAATTTGTGGTAGAGACTGGTTTTGTTCAGCCATGCTTGAGCGAGTAATAACAGGTCTGTGCTGCCCTTTGGTGTCTGGCTTAATGCGCACAACACTGAACGTCCCAGCGTTTGGCAACGATTTGCCGTTAAGTGATGCAAACCCGCTGAACACGTTCATGAGGAGCCAGGTACAGGGGCCATGAATCAGTATGGACCTGGCAGCAGCGTGAGCAGACGACAGAGGCACATGGCGCAGGGTGGCGGTGTAGGCAGCATTATTCTGAAGCCATAAACAGGCCTAGGTTAAAAAGCGGAAGCTGTCAGCAGCGTGAGCAGATGACAGAGGCACATGGCGCAGGGTGGCGGTGGATGCAGCAGTATTCGGAAGCCAAACACAGGCCTCGGTTTAAAAAGCGGAAGCCGTCAGCAGCGTGAGCAGACGACAGAGGCACATGGCGCAGGGTGGCGGTGGAGGCAGCAGCAATGGAAGGCCATACAGCACCCTATCACAAAATGGAACCCACCAACAGTGTAAGGAGACCTGAAAGTGGCACATGGCAGAGTCTGGCGATGAAGTCAGCAGCAATGGGAGGCCGTACAGGGACCCATGACACACTCTGGACCTGGCAGCAGCAAGAGGAGGCGGTACAGGGGCCCATGGCAGAGTGGCGAAGCGTAAGCAGCTTAAATTGAAGGCCATACAGAGGCCTATGTTAAAAAGTCCCCCCAGCAGCAGCGTGGGGAGACGACTATTAGTCGTCTCCCCACGCTGCTGCTGGGGGGACTTTTTAACATAGGCCTCTGTATGGCCTTCAATTTTAGCAGCTTACGCTCCGCCACTCTGCCATGGGGCCCCTGTACCGCCCCTCATGCTGCAGCCAGGCCGTAATCTGTCATGGGCCCCTGTACCACCTCCTCATGCTGCTGCCAGGTCCAGAGTGTGTCATGGGTCCCTGTACGGCCTCCCATTGCTGCTGTCTCCATCGCCACACTCTGCCATGTGCCACTTTCAGGTCTCCTCACACACTGCTGGTGGGTTCCATTTTGTCATTGGTCTGTATGGCCTCCCATTGCTGCTGCCAGGCCCGTAATCTGCCACGGGCCCCCGTACCGACTCCTCATGCTGCTGCCAGGCCCGTAATCTGTCATGGGCCCCTGTACCGCCTCCTCATGCTGCTGCCAGGTCCAGAGTGTGTCATGGGTCCCTGTACGGCCTCCCATTGCTGCTGTCTCCATCGCCACACTCTGCCATGTGCCACTTTCAGGTCTCCTCACACTGCTGGTGGGTTCCATTTTGTCATAGGGTGCTGTATGGCCTCCCATTGCTGCTGCCAGGCCCGTAATCTGCCACGGGCCCCCGTACCGACTCCTCATGCTGCTGCCAGGCCCGTAATCTGTCATGGGCCCCTGTACCGGCCTCCTCATGCTGCTGCCAGGTCCAGAGTGTGTCATGGGTCCCTGTACGGCCTCCATTGCTGCTGTCATCCATCGCCACACTCTGCCATGGTGCCACTTTCAGGTCTCCTCACACTGCTGGTGGGTTCCATTTTTGTCATAGGGTGCTGTACGGGCCTCCCATTGCTGCTGCCAGGCCCGTAATCTGCCACGGGCCCCCGTTACCGACTCCTCATGCTGCTGCCAGGGCCCGTAATCTGTCATGGGCCCCTGTAACCCCGCCTCCTCATGCTGCTGCCAGGTCCAGCAGTGTGTCATGGGTCCCTGTAACGGCCTCCCATTGCTGCTGTCTCCATCGCCACACTCTGCCATGTGCCACTTTCAGGTCTCCTCACCACTGCTGGTGGGTTCCATTTTGTCATAGGGTGCTGTATGGCCTCCCATTGCTGCTGCCAGGCCCGTAATCTGCCCACGGGCCCCCCCGTACTGACTCCTCATGCTGCTGCCAGGCCCGTAATCTGTCATGGGCCCCTGTTACTGGCCCCCTCATGCTGCTGCCAGGTCCAGAGTGTGTCATTGGTCCCTGTACGGCCTCCCATATGCTGCTGTCTCCATCGCACACATCTGCCTCTGCCATGTGCCACTTTCAGGTCTCCTCACACTGCTGGGTGGGTTCCATTTTGTCATAGGGTGCTGTATGGCCTCCCATTGCTGCTGCCAGGCCCGTGAATGCCTGCCACATGCTGCTGCCCCCGTAATCTACCGACTCCTCATGCTAGCTGCCAGGCCCGTAATCTGTCATGGGCCCCTGTACCCCCGCCTCCTCATGCTGCTGGCCAGGTCCAGAGTGTGTCCATGGGTCCCTGTACATAGCCTCCCATTGCTGCTGTCTCCATCGCCACACTCTGCCATGTGCCACTTTCAGGTCTCCTCACACTGCTGGTGGGTTTTCCATTTTGTCCATAGGGTGCTGTATGGCCTCCCATTGCTGCTGCCAGGCCCGTAATCTGCCACGGGCCCCCGTACCGACTCCTCATGCGCTGCTGCCAGGCCCGTAATCTGTCATGGGCCCCTGTACCACCGCCTCCTCATGCTGCTGCCTAGGTCCCAGAGTGTGTCATGGGTCCCTGTACGGCCTCCCATTGCTGCTGTCTCCATCGCCACACTCTGCCAATGTGCCACTTTCAGGTCTCCTCACACTGCTGTTGGGTTCCATTTTGTCATAGGGTGCTGTATGGCCTCCCATTGCTGCTGCCAGGGCCCGTAATCTGCCACGGGCCCCCGTACCGACTCCTCATGCTGCTGCCAGGCCCGTAATCTGTCATGGGCCCCTGTACCGCCATCCTCATGCTGCTGCCAGGTCCAGAGAGTGTGTCATGGTCCCCTGTACGGCCTCCCATTGCTGCTGTCTCCATCGCCACACTCTGCCATGTGCCACTTTTCAGGTCTCCTCACACTGCTGGGTGGGTTCCATTTTGTCAATAGGGTGCTGTATGGCCTCCCATTGCTGCTGCCCCAGGCCCGTAATCTGCCACGGCCCCCGTACTGGGACTCCTCATGCTGCTTGCCAGGCCCGTAATCTGTCATGGGCCCCTGTACCGCCTCCTCATGCTGCTGGCCGAGGTCCAGAGTGTGTCATGGGTCCCTGTACGGCCTCCCCATTTGCTGCTGTCTCCTTCGCCACACTTCTGCCATGTGCCACTTTCAGGTCTCCTCACACTGCTGTGGGTTCCATTTTGTCAATTAGGGTGCTGTATGGCCTCCCATTGCTGCTGCCCCAGGTCCCGTAATCTGCCACGTGCCCCCGTACCGACTCCTCAATGCTGCTGCCACAGGCCCGTAATCTGTCATGGGCCCCTGTACCGCCCTCCTCATGCTGCTGCCAGGCTCCAGAGTGTGTCATGGGTCCCTGTACAAGCCTCCCATTGCTGCAGGTCTCCATCGCCACACTCTGCCATGTGCCACTTTCAGCGTCTCCTCACACTGCTGGGTGGGTTCCATTTTGTCATAGGGTGGCTGTATTGGCCTCCCATTGCTGCTGCCAGGCCCGTAATCTGCCCACGGGGCCCCCGTACACACTCCTCATGCAGCTGCCAGGGACCCCGTAATCTGTCATGGGCCCCCGCTGTACCACCTCCTCATGCATTTTCAATATATTTTTGTTTTTCATTTTTCTATTTTCAAAATGTCTAACAATTTTTTTCATTTCATCACATTCCATTTCATTTTTGTATTTGCCTGCTGCCAGGTCCATGAGTGTGTCATGGGTCCCTGTACGCCTCCCATTGCTGCTGTCCCATCGCCCACACTCTGCTGCCATGTGCCACTTTTCCAGGTCTCCTCACACTGATGGTGGGTTCCATTTTGTCCATAGGGTGGCTGTATGGCCTCCCATTGCTGCTGCCACAGGCCCGTAATCTGCCACAGTGCCCTGCCCCACCGTACCGACTCCTCCATGCTGCTAGCCAGGCCGTAAATCTGTCATGGGCCCACTGTAACCGCCTCCTCATGCCTGCTGCCAGGTACCTGAAGTGTGTCAATGGGTCCCTGTACGGCCTCCCCATTGATGCTTGTCTTCCCATCGTCCTACACTCTGCCAATTTGTGCCAACTATCATGTCTCCTCCCTCACAACTGCTGGTGGGTTCCATTTTGTCATAGGGTGCTGTATGGCCTCCCATTGCTGCTGTCCATCCACCGCCACACTGTGGCTCACACTCTGGTTTTGGCCTACCGTGACTGCCAAATGAGTGAAGTGTGCAGTGATTCTAAGGATCGACGGCGACTCATCTGCATGTTCCATACTGACTGACATAATTATTTTCTCATTCCCCAGCAGACTCCAAGGGCATTTAAATTAAAAGGTACAGTGTTCTGCACTAATATAAAGGATCTCTGAAGCCTGAGAAACACCCTTTTCTATATAAGTTAAATTCGCAGCGATTATATTCGACTCGAATCAGAATTTATTCTGCGGAATTCGGGCGAATCAGCCGAATCGAATTTTTGAATACTTTCGCATCATCTCTAATCTTTGCCTAAATTTATGAAGAACAATAATTTATTTGCAAACTTTTATAACAGAAACAAAGAAAAAAAACGTGTTTTTTTTTCTCAAAATTTTCAGGTTTTTTTGTTAATTTAGCAAAAAATAAAAAACCCCAGCGATGATTAACCGCTTGCCGCCCTGCCACTGTATATATACGTGTGCACGGGCGGAACTCAGAGCGCAAAACCCCACGTTTAAAAACGGGTTCCGCGGCTCCCCGACGTTTCCCGCCTGCAGGGGCCCGCGCGCAATCAACCGCGGACCCGCGGCCGTGACACACATTCGATCCACCGGATGGATCAATCATTAGGATTTCACAGCCAATGAATGTCTGGGCTGAAATAGCACATGAATCTGGTCCCCTGTCCTATCCTTGTCCTGTGTTGAAGTTTACACAGTACAGGATATGATTGTCATTCCTTCTCAGCTGCTGCCTGGACACATTTCGTTTCCAGAACAGAGAAGAAGAACAGTATAAAAGTGAGTAAAACACTACAACAATATACAGTTAGAAACACAGCCTAGTCACATTTAAAGCCCCTGATCGCCAGCCCCGGAACCCTAGTTAACCCCCTCCAGATAGCGCCAGTTTTCCCGCCAGTACACCATAAAAACCCGTTTAACCCCCTTTAAACCCCCCCCCCTTAACCCCTTCACCCCCTGTCACCAGTGTCATGATCATGAACCGATTTTTTTTGATCCGTACAGTGTCGCTGGCGACTTCCAATAGTGTTAGCGCCCCCCCCCAAAGCGCCATTTTTCCCGCAGTAAACATAACCCATTTAACCCCTTGATCACCCCCCCCCCCCTTTTAAAAACCCTTTACTGCCCGTCACCAGTGCATTGATTTCGGAAAGATTTTTTACTGATCACTGTATTAGTTCACGGGGATTCCGATAGTTTTTAGCGCCCCTCCCCCTATAGCCCAGATTTCCCCCCTAATACAACATAACCCATCAACCCCCCTTTATCACCCCCCCCCGAGTTTAACCCTTCACTGCCCCCGCACCAGTGTCATTGATCAGTGAACA